AGAATATTAATGGTAATTTGAACACATAATGCTCAATGACAGCAAAATATCTAGTTATGTTTAATGTAAACCAGTGATGTTAATCCTAAATTTAAGAATTAATGCACAAAAACCTGTAACCAAACGACATGCTTGATGAAATGGAGGAAAGTTTTTTTTTCTCTTGCTTTGTTTTGTATGTGTGTGTTTTTTTTTAAATCTATTTTTAAAAAAAGAAAGAAAAAAAGGCTCCTAGGATTCTTTGGATATTCCTTCTGCTCTTTGCTGAATCCCCAAATATATTACAATCCTTCTTTGCCTTTATTATGATGGGTAAGGTCTGGGAGGGGGCTGGGCGAGCTAGTGGTAGCAAGCAAAATGAGGAACCTGACGTGGAAATAGATTCAAAAGGACAATAGCATAGAACTGTTATGAGTTGAATGGTGAGGTCTATATTGCAGTTCAAATGCTCTTTGTCGATACCGACAGCTGTCCCTCCTGCCCACTTTGCAAGAATTTTTCTCCCTGTCATTTCTGGCAAAAGGCCCGATCTGAGAATTAGAAGCCATAGGAAGAGCCGCACACAGGCGGATGGAATATAAAAGGATGCAGTTCCGAGAGCTCCAGAAACGATGACCTCAACTGTGCATTGGCGTTCCTTTTTGGAGAATGTTGTCACCCACCTCCGGTTATTCAAGTTGCTTCCTGCATGAGGCATTGTTGATTTTGATGTGTGGTGTTGTTGCCTCGACAAAGTAGCAAGCTCGGTTGGGCTTCGGAGAAAAAGGTTTAATCATTACCGTGAACGATGAAGATTAAAACATTGCATAGAGTATATAGTTAGCCCTTGACTTACGACCACAATTGAGCCCAAAATTTATGTGGCTGAGCAAGACAGTAGCTAAGGGAGTTTTGCCCCATTTGGCAATCTTTCCCGCCGTAATTGTTAAGTGAATTTCTGCAGCTGTTGCATTAGTAACACAGTTGTTAAGTGAACCTGCCTTCCCCATTAACTAGGCTAGTCAGAAGTTCATAAAAGGGGATCACGTGACCCCAGGACCTTGAAGCCATCATAAATACATGCCAGTGGCCAAGTGTCCGAATTTGACCACAAGGATGCTGCAACGGTTGTAAGTATGAAAAACGGTCATGAATCACTTTTTCAGTGCTTTCGTAACTTTGGTCATTAAATGAAATGGTTGTAAGTCGAGGACTATCTGTGGTCATATACTAGTATTGATTTCCGTAACTGTGAAATATATTTGATTTCAGGAATATAAAGATGTAAAAGATGTAAAAAGCTGACATACTTGGTGCCTACTGTTTTCTGCAGCTGGACCGGTTCTGGCTTCTCAGTTTCCCATCCGAAATCTGGAAAAAAAAGGACACAGAATGATCAATTTNTGAGCTTAAATGGATTCCGGGGGATGGGAGAGGACAGGAAGGCCTGGAGGGACTTTGTCAATGGGGTCGTGATGGGTTGGACACGACTTCACAACTAACAACAACAACAACCTGCCTGGAGTGAAATAAGACTTTATTATCAGTCTTTCTACCTACTACCGATCCATTCATCTGCCCACCCATCTATCTACAGATACTTAAAATATACACAACAGCTGCTTTGTAAGCCTTTTTCTCTGCTTCCCATTCATTCTGTTATATCAATGCCCATAGGTCTCTCATTTTAAAATGTTTAGGACTTCACAAGAAATGCTCAATAATAAGATTTTGGCCTTCATGCTTAATGCAAATATATATTAAGCCTTTCCTTAAACTAGCATTCTGTTTCTTTTAATCCAGGGGAAAGAGGGGTCCATTTAAGCCAAGCTTCTCTTCACTGCCACCTTTTGGAAAAGAATAATAGAGTTATTGGAGGCCTTCTAGTCCAGCCTCCTGCTCAGGCAGGAAACCCTATACTATTTCAGACAAACGGTTATCCAATCTCTTCTTAAAAACCTCCAGTGATGGAACTCTCACAACTATTTGAGGCAGGTCATTCCACAGATCGATTGTTGCGCTAGAAAGGATGTTATAGGGTCTTCTGCTTGAGCATGGGGCTGGACTAGAAGACCTCCCAGGTCCCTTCCAACTCTGTTATTCTGTATTCTGTAAATGCCAGGAAGACATCTCCCAGTTAAGAAGATTGGAGTAATAAAACACACAATGTTTTGATGACTATCTGCCCTGCACGCCCAACAGCTTCCTTAATTATTGCCAAAGCTTTTCAGTATAAATACAGGTAGTCCTCGACTTACAACAGTCCATTTAGTGACTGTTCAACGTTACAATTGCCCTGAAAAAAAGTAGACTTATAAGTTATGACCGTTTTTCACACTTACGACCATTGCAGCATCCCCATGATCACATGAACAAAATACAGACACTTGGCAACTGGCTCATATTTACAATGGTTGCATTGTCCTGGGGTCATGTGATCCCCTTTTGTGACTTTCTGACAAGCAAGTCAATTTGGGAAGCCAGGTTTACTTAACAACCGTGCTACTAATTTAAGGACTGCAGTGATTCACTTAACGAATGTGGTGAGGAAGGTCATAAAATGGGGCACAGCTCACTGAACAAATTTCTCACTTAGCAACAGAAAAGGTTTCGCTCAATTGTGGCTGTAAGTTGAGGACTACCTGTATTATTGTTTTTTAAAAAGGCTCCTTTTTTCAATTGAACATATGAATGTATATTATAAATTAATGAGAATTCTTTGTTCTAATCTTCGCTTTTTCTCCTT